TTCAGATCTGGGTCGTAAGTCCCCTTTTTCGAATAGGTTGTAAGTCAAGCACCACCTGTAATTAGAATGATCATAAATAATGTATGAATGTAATAACACATAAATGATTATATTTTATATATGTGTGTGTGTGTGTGTGTGTGTAGGGCCCTGCTTTTGTTTCATTGTTATTCTGAATAAAAAATATTTGTAAATTATTAACCCTGGTTAACAAAGTACTTTTTTTTAAACAGTGTCCTGGAAAAATCGACAGCATCAATGAAAGGGCTGATTCCCTCTCTCAACTGCAGGCTGTTTTTAACATAGCTAAGAAAGGTACTTCCATTCTAATATTAGTAATAACAGTATGTTACGACTTGTTGCCGTTATATAATTAAGCCTACTGTAGGAATGGAAAAATATATTTGTGATTACAGGTAGCCTTTGATTAAATATGGAACCAGAATTTCTGTTGCAATATAGTGTTGGTGGGGGGGATGGGCGTAGACAGGGGAATGGCACTGTGGCAACATCTGACTGCAACTGGGCAGGTAGTTTCCTGCCTTGGACCACACTCGCCCTACCACTTGGGCTCTTGAGGGGAAAAAAAAGCAGCAAGAGTTTATGGGGATGACTTGTGACTTTCCCTGATGGCTTTCCCATTGACTTTGCATGTGGGAAGTCAGTAGGGAAGGTCTCAAATGGGAGGTGTGGTCATGGGCTCTCCAACTGTTGTAAGTTCAAGTCAATTGCCAAGCGCCAAATTGTAGTCACATGACCATGGAGACACTGCAATGGCCACAACTTCAAGGACCTGTCATAAGTCTCTGGCATTCAGCTCTACTGAAATTTCAAAGAGTCATTAAACAAATGGTTGCTAATGTATGCAAAATCTGGGCAGTTTCTAAACGCCTTTGTTTTATGTCCATAGAATTTAACATAGCTCTTTGGTTGACCAAACGATCAACAACCTAAATAAGAAGGACATGCATTTTGACTAATAACATGTTCAGTGTAGGCATCAGTCTGTTAACTAGCACATTTTAATTTCAAAGAAGAGTTTAGTAAAGTAGTTTAGTATTTATAGCATGAACTGTCAACCTCCATCTTCTAAATGTGGCTTTGCAATCAGCTTGTAAACCAGATCAGCTATTTAATGAACTTTCTTAAATTAATATGTTATCTATGAGAGGACATTATGCCCGTTATGTAGTAAGTATATCAGCTTGCAGACCCACTCCAACATTTTGGTAAATGCTTTTTTTTCCCTAAAAGGGATGGACATTTTGAGTCTAGGATAAAGGAAATGCAATCATCTTCTCTATCCGTTTATCTGTTCACCAAGATACCCAAGAAGGCTTTTCACTTTGTCAAATGATGATTGAGATATGGTTGGTTGGGACACAGGAGATAGACTCTTCAGAAACCCATACTTACTCATACCTTTATGACTTTGTGGTCTTTGCTTGCCACTGAATTTTTTAAAACTTTCTAATTGGAATTTATCTTGGTGGGTTTACTAATATTTTTCTTTCCCTTTATTTGCTCTTTCATCTGTCTCTTTTCGCTGATATTTGTGCATGTTCTATGCATAAAGAAATAAGAATTACGTTAAATATCTATTGTTGGTTATACAGCATCCTTCCACAGCTACAGAATGGGAATGATCCAGAGATACTTTAAAGATCACTGGGAATGTTGTGTATAATTTATGTATAAAAACTCATCAGATGTACAGTAGAAGCTAGACAGCCATCTGTCTGGGATATTTTAATTTTAATTCCTGCACAAAGTTGAAGGAGCTGCTTTGCCTAAATAGGCGATGATTCTATAGTTGTCCTCCATGAAATAGAAACAGATAAATACACAAGGGTTTGTATACTTGTATAAACTCTGAAGCCAAACAGACCTGAACAAATCTCCAGCTATGCTAACCATATAGGTTAGGATTATAATTCATCCATGCAATCCAGGGGACCATTCGGGTGAGTGTAGTGACTATAAAAAATGATGGCCTTCGCTGATTATTAAGGTAAGATGGAGCTATTAGTGAAAAATCTCTCAGTGCAAATTTTAGGTTTGTCTTGTATAAGATTCCTATAAACATTTTTTCCTATAAAGGAGCTAAAGGTAGCTCTTTATTATATTCCATGTGGCTTTGGTTGCTCTGTTGTTGAACTCATTTGTTGGAGAGACATGGTTTGACTGATATTACTCATGCTTCAATAATGATCAGATTAGGAATGCATTGCTTCCCTTGGTAAGTATGGGTTTGATTCACCATTAGAGGAACCACATTATTTACTAGCACTGGCTGTCCTGAGCATATTATCAACCTGGTATTCAGAGAAGTACATTGCTATTGATTTGTTCCCAGTCTCGTTGATTGATTTTAGTGTTTAAAACCTTAAAAGGACTGGGACTAATACATTTGAAGGATTACCTTTTACAACATGAATCTCCCAGCAATTAAAGTCTTTATTGCAGCCCCCTTTCTTGTTCTCTCAGTTACTATCTTTCAGGCATCAGATGAAATCTTTCCAGGGTTGTTATTATTGCTGTGCCTTTTAATAGCATTTAGAATGTTCTATAGTGCTGTGATTATCCAGAGGTAAAATTTGGCTTAGAAATTAGGGCTCCCCAAATTATCCAGAGAATGGGGAAATAATAACAATGTCCATAGGTGTCAATCTATAATCTACTGTCTGCCTAGCTTAGCGGCCTACCACTAATTATTGATTTTAAACTAGTTGCTGTTTATACATTGATGTGTTATATTTTATATTTAATTTAATTTGACTGCTACCTTTCTGGGAATGGTGAGTTAGGGCACTACAAATAACACACTACATTTGTGCTTTTAAATCTTTTCAGATGCAGACTATAGCTGAAAATGGAGAGCCCCCTTCTGAAAAACAAAATGAGGAGAAAACATATAAAAAGGTTTGTAAAGTTTCATATCCTTTTTGAATGATTCAAAATAATTTCATTTTTTTAACAGCTTGTGTAGAGTGCTAGAATGGACCCTCTTCTCTTTTGTGCTTTATGGTTCTTTGAACACAGGAAAATATCTTTGGATACATAGAAGATTATTACTATCCAGGTATGGGCCAGCCAATCAGGCGGAACCTTCTGGAACATGAGCCTCAAACCAATGCCTTTCCTCTTGCTTTCTGAAGAAGAAAATTAATCACCACAAAATCTCACTTCTTAACTATTCCTATTTTAAAACATTAAGGGTACTTCCAAACTTATTGGCCCTAGCTGTTGGGGGTGGCTCTTTCTGATCATCAGTGCAGTAAAGAAACAAAACAAAAAACAGTGCCAGACCTGCGAGAGGACAAAGGAAAAAATCATCAAGGCAGAGTTGTATTTATTTGTATAAATTGTGTTTAATTAAAATATTGTTTGTTTCATATCTTACCTTTATTATTTTTATCAACAACTCAAGGCAGAAACACATCTAATACTCCTCCTTCCTCCTATTTCTTCATAACAATAACCCTCTGAGATGGGTTAGGCTGGGAGAGAGTAACTGGCCCAAGGTCACCAAGCTGACTTTCATGGCTAAGGCAGCACTAGTACTCATGGAATCCCCAGCACAACGAATGGAGAATCCATAGCTGGGTTGACACATGTCATTCTGCCTGTTTCTAGCCTGGTGCTTTAACCATTAGATCAAACTGATTCTTATTATTGATAATAATATTAACATTAAGGGCTACTTATCAAAGGAATGTCTTTAAGTTGAGGTTTAGATTGGATCTGTCACCTCAAAAGAACATTTTTATTTGGTTTCTGGTCTCCTATCAAATCCGCAAATTCATGTTGGTACATCTGACTCAAAATAAACTTTTAAATTACTACTGTAAATGTTTTGCTTAGAATGTCAGTGCTATTTATTTGAAGTATTTCAGCCTACAGTTATACTCTAAAAAGCAATATACACCCAAAAGCCAAAGTACTTCAAGGAGTTATATCATAACAGTAATTAAAGTTTTAGTTTAGAGCAGTGCTGAAGAAATACAATATAAAACACTGGACTATATTAAATAACAATAACAACATAATAATTTTAATTAGTAAACTCCATAGTTGAAATATATTATATCTATAAAGAGATGAATAAAAAACATTATTAGAAAAACATATGGCTCTTAGGCACCAAACAAAAACAATAGCCTTAAATGGTATAATCATGTCATGTGATATAATCACATTTGTAAACTGGGTTTTATTATAAGAACAAAAAGGCAAATTAAGCATCTAAATCAGTACATCAGGTTTAAATCTCAAAATAGTGATCCACAAAACTTGTAATGCTGAAGTACTTGTTCAATTATAGAGAGATTAACTTTCTATAATATGATAATAATTGATGAAGAATGAGTGTTCTTCAATTCTTATTATTTATTGATTGATCAAGCTTATATGGCTGTGCATCTTACCAAGGCAACTCTTGTTGGTGCATGGTAATAGATAAAAAAATATAAAAACAGTGTATACAAATTTTAAAAACTCTGGTAAAAAAATATACTAAAAAACTCAAAATACAATCAAAGCAGAGGGAAAATAAGAAAATCCCCCTCAACAATGGAGCTATCTTGCCAAGGGTCCAGTTCCTTAGGAGCCCCAGGCCCAGTCTCATAACCAGGTCTTGATGGCCTTTTGGAATGTCAGATGGGATGTGGCCGATCTAATTTCGGGGTGGGGGAGGAAGGTTCCACAAGAAGGCACATCTCCCTGGGATCCACCAAATGTAGATCTCTGGTTGATGGTATCCACAACATGCCTTCTCTGCCAGATCTAATGGGGCAAGCTGATGGGGAAAGGTAGCCTGGTTCTTCAGAAAGCCTGGTCCCACACCATGAAGTTTTAAAGGTTTAAACCAGCAATTTGAATAGGGCACAGAAGCAAATAGGCAAGCAGTGCAGCTCTTGGATAAAAGTGTAACATGCACTATTCCAGGAGCGTGCATTACTGCCAGGTCACCACATTCAGCACCAATTGAAGTTTCTGGATACTCTTCAAGGGCAGCCCCTTGTACAGTGCATTGCAGTAATCTAATCTGAAGATGATTATGTCATGAGTGACCTGTAAACAGGATCTGCTGATTCAAGAACAGGCGCACATGGCACACAAGATAAAACTGTACAAAGGCCCTCATAGCCATGACTGCCATCTACTCATCAAGCAGCAGTTATGAATCTAGGAGAACCCCAAGATTGCATACTGAGACTGTCTGGGATAGTGCAGTCTTATCCAGCATCAAAGATGGCATAGTCCTGGAGCCAGAGGGGCCTGAAAAGCCACTTGGTCTTGTGAGGGTTCAGCTGAAGCCTGTTGCCACCAGGATAAGCTGGTCATGGCTTCATTTATTTGGCTAAAGATTGAAATGTAAAACTGAATATCATCAGCATATTGATGATACTTCACCCCGTGGTGATGGATAAGCTCACCCAGAAGCCTCCTGTAGATGAAAGGAGAAAGCATCAAACCCTGTGGCACCTCACTTAGGCTAAGGGTAGGACTTCTCCTCAGTCATGAGTGACTGAAATGGATTCTTTTTTTATATATATAAAAAGTTTTATTTCAGTTTTCCACATTTTAAAAACATCTTTTTTTAGTGAGCAGCATAATTCCAGGTTTTCACATTTGCATACAAACATGACTTTAATTACATATTCATCTTTCATATTTAATTTCATATCTTACCATTACTTTACATAATTTCTATTATTTTTCTCAAATACTTTCCTGAAGCTTATTTTATAAATTTTCAATTCATTTCTTAACCTATTTCTTTTAACTTTAAATACTTCTCATATTTTCATATTTGTTGTACTTTGTACTTTTATCTGTCAGGTTTGCAATTTCATCACAAATTCTTAATTCATCATTTTAAAAATTTCATCTCAATTCAAACATTTGAAAAAAGTTTCCCCCACAATTACCACTTAGAGTGTGCCACCCCTAATGTTATATATCATTTAATTAGTTCCCCTTTAAATCCCAGTAATCATTTAACTTTTTAATTATCACCTTTAAAATTACCTTCTAGCAACTACATAACATATACCTTTTAAGTCAGATTCTGCATGGTACTTTCCCCTTCAAATACATCAAAAACATTTATAATTTAAAAAAGAAAAATTAATCTATTCAATTCATCATCAAAACTGATATTAATCTCATTCCAACAATCCTCATAATTCATTTCAACTATATTCTACAAATTCATTGAACATAGTTATTAAACTTATAATTTCTCTTTTTTCACATTTGTTCCATTTATCTCTGTATACAGTTTAACAAAAAACAAGTATTCAGTAACAAAATAGTATCAATTCCAATCTTTCATTTTAATAATCTATATTTTCCTACTTTCTAAATAATTTTTTTACTTCTAATACATTTATACAACACCTCATCACCTTGCAGAATCCCCTTTCTTAACTCTTAATTAACCATTGTCTCTATGTCTTTTAAATAAACAATTTCTTTTCATTTTTATTCGATTTCCATATTTCTTTTATGTCCTGGTTCTGTTTCTTATTACTTCTTTTTCCCTTCATTTTTTCTTCCTTTTCTTACTCCAGTTTTTATACCCCTCCCTCTTTAAAGCTTCCTTCTGCAATTCCCTTTTCTCTTGCTTCCTTTTACTTTGTTTGGTTTTCAAAATATGAAATGGATTCTTAAGGAAGGAGGCAAACCAACACAACATTGGTCATGGTCAGTGGTATTGAAAGCTGCCAATAGGTCAAATACAGCAAGGATATAAACACTGACCCTATATCTTGTCTCAGGCAATATTTATCTTCCCAAAATAGTTGAGATTAAACACTACAAAGGCTTCCATACAAAGTTTCTTTATTGGATTTTATCAGGCATCCTCAAGGTATAACTCACAGTTATGTTGAGATTCATCTAATGTCCAATCTTTGGATTGTCTTCAACAGTGTGAAAAGATAGTTATCTTCATCCCATAATGATACAGCAAGGGGAGACTCCAGCACAGGTCCAGGCAAGAATGACTGAAACTCCCCGCCCCAACCCAACCAGAGGTCAATTCAGTGACCAATTAGGATTACAGATGTGACCACATGGCATGAACTACATCTCCCATGAGGCATTAACTACATTTCCCATGAAGCATTCCCTTAAGGGGACAGCTCCCATTCCCAACTAACTATATACTGTCTAACCAGCACACTCTATCTAGGTCATCTATAAGCATGACCAATGCTGTTTCTGCCCCGTATCTGGGTCTGAATCCCGACTGGAAAGGGTCTAGATAATATGCTTCCTCAAAGGCTTTCTAAAACTGCTATTTCACTATATGAAATAGTGGATTAAAAATTGTCCAGTATAGTGGGGGTCCAGCAGTGACTTTTGTAGCATCAGGCTTATTTTGCAACTATAAAAGGATGCAATCTTTTATTATCCTACTAGTTTTGTAGCCACGGGTATATAATTCAACAGCATTTGCAAGACTTACTGTATAATATAAAATTACAATATTCCAAAACAAATTTAATATATGAAATTATTTAAATCCAAATGACAGCTGCCTTGATATATGACCACATGACATCAACTAGTTTTGCATGTTTAATACCTATTCCAAAATTTGCATTGTGTTCAGTACATTACAGAATGTTTTTAATTATAATTTTAAGTTTCAAGAAACAAGTCCTTTATCTGCCAAAATAATTGTTGTTGATATTTTTCTCTCAGAGATTTCAACTCAGTCCATGTCTCTCTCTATATTTGAATATCAAATTTCATATATTCTAGCAATCATTCATACATTGCTATTATTTTTTTAAAGAATAGTTTTAATCCTCTAGTACTAGAAGGGATAACATTACATATTATAGTCAAACTGATTCTGTTAATTTAAGGTATGTAGGTAGGATCCATTGCGTAACATAAGAAACTAT